AAAAAAAAAAGAATACTTAAATTTAAGCCTGGGTATGATGGCTCACATCTGTAATCCCAGCACTCTGGGAGGCCAAGGCGGCTGGATTAGAGCTCAGGAGTTCAAGACCAGCCTGAGACCTTGTCTCTACTAAAAATGGAAAAACTAGCCAGGCATAGTGGCACCTGCATGTAGTCCCAGGTACCAGGAAGGCTAAGACAAGAGGATCACATGAGGTTGCTGTGAGCTGTGATTATGCCATGGTACTCTGCCCAGAGCAACAGAATGAGACTCAGCCTCAAAAAAAAAAAACCAAAAAAACTAAAATTTACTTTCTTCAGTGTAATAGCATGGCCACTCTCATTTCTCTTTGTTTAAGAATCTAGCTAGTTTATAATGGCTGAAAACAATAAGTACCTCTTATTATAGTTTTAATACTTAAGTGTGAACTTTGCTTTTGGTGGTAATATTATCTAGAGATTGGGCTACTGTTAAAAGCTCTTTACTCACTGCATAAAAAGATAACACATATTCAGTACTTTGATTAAAAATGACTATCATTCACATAAAGTCCAAGTGATGTTACAGTCGATTCATGATAAATATGCAAGAGCCACTTCAGGGAAAAGTTACAGCCTACTCTGATGTTTCCAGAATTTAAGATGTACAGTAGTCCATCTTTATCCATGGTTTCACTTTCTTTTTTTTTTTTTGAGACAGAGTCTCATTGTGTCACCCTCAGTAGAGTGCTGTGGCGTCACAGCTCACAGCAACCTCAAACTTTTGGGCTTAAGTGATTCTCTTGTCTTAGCCTCCTGAGTACCTGGACTATAGGCACCTGCTACAATGCCCAGCTATTTTTGGGTTGCAGTTGTCATTGTTGTTCATCAGGCCCAGGCCAGGCTGAAACCCTCCAGCTTCAGTGTATGTGGTCAGCACCCTACTCACTGAGCTACAGGCGCGGAGCCCATGGTTTCACTTTATACCATTTTGGTTATGGTTAATCACGGTCTGAAAATATTAAATGGAAAATTTCAGAAATAAACAATCTATAAGTTTTAAATTGCTTGCCATTCTGATAGTTGGATGAAGTCTCGCTGTCTTCCTCCCTCCTGTCCAGGACATCAGCCATCTCCATGCCTGTGCTCCCAGCCTATTAAGGTGGTCACTTAACTGGCCATCTTAGTTGCCAGATCAGCTGTTGAGAGGTATTGCAGTACTTGTGTTAAGTGAGAGGGTGATAGTTTTCAACTTTAAGAAAAATAATCTTCTGCTGAGGTTGCTAAGAGATAACAGTAAAAACAAAGAAAGAAGAAATTCATACTATCACTGCAAAAGTGATAGCCATAGTGTGTTGTGAGTGTTTAGTGAAGATGAAAAAAGCATTACGTTTGTGGGTGGAAGATGTGAACAGAAAATGCATTCTAAGTGATGACATCTTGTTGCCCCCGAAAGCACTGAGCCCCACCCCACACGAAGGCTTTAGCAAGGGATCACCTGAAGTGAGTGACACCAAGCTATTTACTGCAGGCAACGGATGATTACATAGACTCAGGAATAGGATTGAACTGAAAAATAATCAAAATCCTTGGAGAGGCTGCATCTGCTGAGGAAGAGACTGCAGCCACACAAGTAGTGTATAGTAAGATATTCTGATAAGCTGTATGCTTTCCCATAACTTTCATTGCAGTATATTTTTATAATTCTAATATTATTAGTCATTATTCTTTTACTGTGCTTAATTTATAAATTAAATTTTATCATTGGTTTATATGTATATGAGAAAACCTAGTATATATAAGGTTTGATACTATTTGTATTTTCTGGCATTAACTTTATTTGGAACATAACCCCACAGATGAGGGGGCTCCTGTATCTCCTTAACCCCTAACCCTAGACATAACAGACACTGCTGGTTGAATCGTATGTGGTGTCCATGTAACTATTTTTCTGTCTTAGCTTAATCCTTTAACCCTTATAAAATTTGGATCCTAATACTTTTGAGGGACATACTTGATAACTAGTACAATTTTTTC